GGATGGAAGGGGAGGAGAGGAGGAGGAGGAAATGGTTGGAGGAGGAGGAGGGGGGGGAGAGGAGGTGGAAAGGGTTGGAGGAAGAGGGGGAGGTGAGGGTGGAGGAGGAAGGGGAGGGGGGAGGAAAGGATTGGAGGGGGGGTGAGGGGGGAGGAGGAGGAGGGGAGGAATGGAAGGTGTTAGTGGATGCTTCTAGGGAGTTTTTGAAAGGGGGGGAGGGGGCATGGGCTTCGTGTGTGGCTTACTTGGTTTTTTTTTTTTTAATTCTTCGCTGGACCGGATGGATTTTTGAACGAATGGAAATCTTCCTCCTGGCTCATCGACACGCAGCACATTAATCCTTCCAACTCCCTTTGGCAGAATGTACTGGACTACGAGACCTGGGTGATGAACCTAACCCACGCCAACAAGTACGACGCCCCTCACTGGTACCAGCTGTACAGCGCCCGCCGCGATCTCCAGCTGCCGTCGCTCGACCCCCGGCACTGGGATCAGCTGGTTCAGCGCATGGCTCGGGACCCTCAGCTGTTCGCGCGGTATCACAGGTCAGGAAATTTATTTTTTTGGGATTTGGTGAAGAGCAGTGGAGTGCTGGATTTAGTGCTGTTTTGCATTTTTGCTTACGTTGCACAAGTAGTCAAATTCGAAAGCTCTTCGTAGATAAGGCGAAAGTTGTTTACCTGAATCCGCTTGAAAGTTTCGTCCACATTTGATATTGTTTTAGGGGACCTACGTAGAACTACCAGTTAGGAGGGTAAAAGTTTTTTTTTCTTGCAGGTTCCAAGTCCAGGACAGCGACAGCGCGTTATCCCGAGGCTGCGACGCGGAATGTCGGCGGAACACCCTCTGCGCCATCGTCGAAGGAGACAAGTTCATGCCGCGCAAATGTCGCCCGCATGATTGATCCCACCGACATGTGTCACCTCGACATATATATTCTTTTGTTGCTATTTTTATCTACTGATGTTGTAGAGTATCTGTTTTCTTTTTTTACTTTATATAATAAATGCACAAAGTTTCCATTCATTCAGCCCTTGAAACACGTGTGTTTTGAGCAGCTCGACGTAAGCCTGTTTACAAGACTCGAGCTCAGGACCGATATAAACGAATGGTCTCAGATTCCAAATGCATTCTCAGTCAGCCTCATCATCCTACGTAGTAAAGGCTCATTCTTCCGTCAGAATGTAAGTCTTTTGCTCGTTCGAATGTAGAAGAAACAGGCTCTGTATTATGTTAAAAGGCTGATGGCGGGAAATGTATGTGTTTGGTCCCCGTCTGTTGTTAATTCTCGGAAACGGTCTCTTAGGCTAGTTCACGAGGATCCGACATTTTTGTCCGTTTGCTTTGCCAGTAGACCCTGTTTCCCCGCTTGTTTTTTGTGTCAATAGATAGACGTTGTTATCCAGTGAGACACGACGAAGGCTTCTGTGCCAGATCTGTATAAAGTGAATTTATTTGACTCGGATATTTAACCATAGTCGACTATTTCAACTTTTCCTTCCTGTTCGTGGGAAGCATCATGATCAGCATCATTTTAATGTGCAGACACACTTTTTTTTATTTAACAGACTGTGTTTCTGCAGTTCTCTGTTTCGATATTTATATCATCCCCTACTTTTATCCATGTGAATGTTACATGTTCATTTATATACCTATTCCCAGGTGATAGATACTAAGCCATTGCTGTGTAAGCAAAACCGAAAACGAAAATTGTGATTGTACATCATACATTTAACTATGCAACAGTATATGATTCCTGCACAAGCGCGTTGCTGCGCAGGGGATTGTGCAGCAGTTGACTGCGATGAGGCAGCTGTGCTAGCATTTATTAGTACAGTAGTAGTGATACATGTACTGATGTGTGGTTGTACATTGTCACTAACACTAGCACAGTCAGTGCTGTATCACTGGCTGTTGCGCAACGTAAGGCTTCCCTTAAAGTAAGAAATAACGTTAACAGTACAAGTTCCTGTGGCAAATAAACAGTATTATCAAACTTATGTAGGTTAATGACAGTGATAGAGAAATTTATCTTAAGTTGAATGAATTACATCTATTATGACGTAGTGTTTTATAAGACCTCTTAATTGTATTGGTCACTGAATAAAGACCGGTGTGATTGATTATGCAAGAGAGAGAAAAAGAAAATAATTGAGCAATCACTGATCAGGTTGTAACACTCCCAGTGACTGATGTTACGTAAAGGACCTCAGACATGTTATGCGCATGAATCATTTCTTTTGTGTATTTCGTAGTATTAAACACAAAATCCTGTCCAGGACTTTTGTGAAATCTTGGAGGTTTGAGAGGCCAGAGTATGTTAAATGGGGGATGAAGGCCTCTGCTGAAGGAAGGCTTTCATTCGTGTTGCTAAATAACCAGACAAACCTTCGCAAGTATATATGTTTCGCGTGTGTTTCTGTGTGTGCAATGCATTTTTTTTTCTTCTGCCATATTACACCCATGTTTCGTAGCGTAGATGTATAGGGTAGGTGTTGTT